ATTTAAATATGGGATACTACACAAGTATATGTATCGTCATCAAGTAATATATGACTTTTTGATTAAGCCCCGAATATCGAACCCGCAGGGAAAACTTGGCAATATGCACTCTACAAAATAAGATAAATTAGATAACAAAATTATACTTAGCAAAATATTCTTACTTAAGTAGAGCTGCTATAATAAAAATGAAAATTTAATTCTTTTTATAATTTTTTGTATAATTGAAAATAAAATGAGCAATTAACTAACTTATCTAAATATTTGCAAGATGAAGACAATATAAACAAAATATTTTTTTCGTTATCATGAATTAGTAACAAGTATATAAAATCTATTATGGAAGCATTCTAATTATGTTGTGCAAAATATGAGCAATAATATTCTTTACCCTTATTAGAGATGTTATAAAGAACATTGGCCAATCTATAGTTTGAATAATTTTGAAGACCGGTTAGTTAGGGAAGATACTAGCTCTCACTCTGAAGTTCCCTCTTCTCCCTCCACCCGAGGGCTAACATCTCATATTAAAACATAAAACTATAAATTAAATTGGGAGTTTTAGTCTGTCACTCTAAAGTCCTCTAATTCTACACACTTGAAAGTTTATTTCTTTATTTATTTGCACTCAACCCCATGAACTACATTCTCATCCATGAAATTAAATGTGATTCTTAGCATTTTTTTGACTGAGAGAATATCATCTCGGATCTTACATGTTCTCACAACATGTATTAACATCTTAATTGGTCAAATCAAGGAGTAAATGAAGTACAAGGTTTTAAATCATCACAACTACTTCCAATATTGAAGTCTAGTACTTCACATAACTTCCTTTCAATACTTAATCACTTATCATTTTAAGGAAAAAGATAAAGAAAACTACTCAGAATTAATGGAGAAAACACAACCACACTTGAGTTTAAAAGTAAAAATCATGCACACAAACAAGAAATCTAACTTAAAATCAAATGTTGTAACAAAGATAAACACTTATCTCAAATCCTCTCTATCAAATATCTTGAAGTTCCTTTGAATTCTCTTCCTGCACTCACAATACAAATTAAAGCTCAAAATAAAATAAAAAAGGTGGTCGACGACGGTTGCTAAGATGAATGATGTTGTTGGATATGGATTGGCTCTCCTCTCTTGATGATCCAAGTCTTCTTTAATAAAAATCCAAGAGGCATCTTGGTGTCTCTTTAAAATGTATCTCCATTCAATGTATCTTCTAGAAGTTGTCTCCTTTCAAAAGCCAATTGAATGAATTTTTGTGTCCGTGAAACCATTTCCTACGTTTTTATCAAGGGTTACTTCAAACACCTCTTCAAAAGTCGTCCAAATTCAATGAATTAGCAAATAACTACTTATGGTGCTTAAGTGCGGGGTACCGACGCTTATGCACGACTCTCTTTGAATAACTGGCGCGTTAGCGCCAGTACTGAGCACTTAGGCACCTTAGTTCATTTTTGCTCCAAAGTTGATAATTTTTCACTCATTTTACCATTTTTCATCTATTTTTTCGTACCTGAAATAAAAACACACAATATCTTTCATTAAAGTGCAATATCTCAAAAAATAAGCATAAAAATGTGTGCAAAAATACTATATATTTTAGGTGTATCACCCACCGTCATTTATTTTAATAATAATATTATTAATTAATTAATTAAAGAGAAAAGGGTCATGTTACTTCCCAATAGACATTGTATCATTTCACTTTAATTACTTAATTAATCATATTAGTCAATAATCACCATGTTGGATGGTGGTTAATCATAGTTAATTAAGAGAAAGATTGTGCCTGCTCCTAAGAGACTTATATTTTCTCTCATAAATAAGAAAAGAGTCATCTCTCTCCCAAGATGAATTGTAACTTCTCTCTCCATCATAAATTATAGAAAGTAATAAGAATTAGAGTAAGAAATTTCATCTCTTCAGATCAAATTTTATAATCATGAATACATGTATGTTTTTCTTATTTATGGGTTTGTGAAAATCATGAATTCAAAGATCTTAGTCATTATGTGTTTTATGAAATCACACACACACACACACACACACATAAGGAATAACCTGAGGCTATTATACGAGCCCCAACCATCTCTAATGTGCTTAACAATTCTAGTACCACACCCTCCACCAGGGGGAATCAAACTTAGACAAGAGGGGACTTACAACTGACAAGCAGATGCCCGACTAATTGATCTGAATACCCGACGCACACACACACCTGAGGCTATTATACTAGCCCCAGCCATCTCTAATGCGCCTAACAATTCTAGTACCACATCCTCCACCGAGGGGAACCAAACTTAGGCAAGAGGGGACTTACAATTGACAAGTAGATGCCCGACTAATTGATCTGAATACGCGGCGCACACACACACACACAAATATATATATATATATAT